AGGGGTTGGGGGTGGGGTGGGGTGGAGGTGGGAGGAGGTTATATTATTGGGGCATTTGGTTATCTGACCGTTAACATCTATTCGCCCACCCATATCAAGGATCAAAGATTTTACTTCAAAATCTAATCGGAGTAGAACATTTTAAAAAAGTTTAAAATTAATGAATAGTATAAAAAACATACGGTAGTTTTTGTTGCTGTTGTTGGCGTTTTTTGGGTTGCCCAATTTTATGAATAACTTTGTTCGTATAAACCTAGAAGGAGGAAAATGTTTTAATATGCCTTGCGCCTGACGTAATCGTAGAATCCCGCAAGTCTTGGCCAGTATCGATACCGACTTTCCTTCACCACTGGGTGTCCAAAATGTTTTCATAGCATTTAAAAAAATCAGATTAATACAATGTGTACAATATGCATTTCATTATATGTTCATCTCATCATATGTTCAGCAAAAAAATGAATAAAAACAAAACCAAAATGAGGCCCAAAGGGAAACGAATTTTCCCCAGAGACCAGGAAGTAAGCTCATACATTTTTCAAGCGCCCTCCTGAACAGGCTTATTATATCGATTCTCTAACACTACTGAATATCAAGTACTAAGTATCGTATTTGTGGGTCGTTGGAGGACTCCACTGGTAGGTCCTACATCTTTTCCTTTCGACTGTTGTTTCTGTCTGTCCGTCTTACTTTTTCCCAGTACTAAATAACCATTATCGTGTCGATCTGCTTCTCTTTACTCAAACAAACCAACCAACAAACAAGCAAACAAACAAACAAAAAACAACAACAACAAAGCATCATGTTTTTCCAGAGACAGAATTCTTCAGATGTATTGTACAGAGAGGTTCTGCCATTCAGCAGGGAGTACTTCAATGGAGTAGAGTTTCCTTCAGAAGAGTGATGAGAACTATGTCGGGGGTCCTCGTAACCCTGGTCTTCTGAAGCTTTCACAGATTTGTCTTCATTTTTCACTATGAAACAGAACTACCGTTTTTATCCCTCCTACTTTCTTCTTTGTATGTTTCTCAGAGTGAACGTTAGATAGATAGATAGGTAGATGGAAAGATGGACAGATATATAT